GTACGTTCTAACTAGCGTTTCTACGGAGTACATTAAAAATAAGAAAGGAAAAGTAAAAAAAAAGAGAGATAAATTTTTGATATAGCTGATTCAAGAATGATAAGCAATTTAGTAAAGAAAAAAGTTAAATAATTTCCTTAACTCTCACTCTGAAGGTTTCATTCTCTAGGATTTGGACCTTGATTGATCTGCCTAGGATAGACAAGGATGCATCTGAGTGTTCTGTAAGATTTTCTATTCCAAACTATGCAAAGAACAACTGATGAAGAACACAAAAATGGCATTTATGGAATAAAATCTTTCTACAAACAAACCTACACTTGACAAATTGGAAACCATTCTGAGACAAGAATAAAAGAACACAAAGACTACACAAGACTGACAAAAACAGAATTCTGCCAGAGCAGATTTTATCTGAGTTATTGTGTTTGAAATTGTTACAGTATATTTCCTTCCTACGTAACAAACACATTGACTCAGATAAATTCTGAAAATCTTTCTATATCAATATGATTAAACTACCACTAAATAAAGACTCAAGCCTGGAAATCAACAGTTATGGATACTGTTGTCAAATCAGCACTTGTCCTACAAACCACTTACAGGAACTACCATCAAATAATGTCCACTTCAATCCTCCAAGATACCATATAAATCCCTGATAAAATCTGTGCAAGCCTATCTGAGGACGAAAATCTTTTGAAACCAGAGCAAGCTACTTTTGTAAACTAGTCTCCAAAAACACTGTTCTACAAGTTTCACTCTGAACTAGGCAGTTGCTGCCCATTTTACCTTTGTTTGTTGAAGATTTCTCATATTTAATAGCCAAAATTGTAGAATGAGTGGACATAACTTTTCTAAGAGGGAGGTTGGCCTTTGGAATGGTTTGCCTTTAGATGTTGTGGATGCAGTAAATTTAAGGAAAGGCTCAACAAAGTCTGAAATTATCAGGGCTGGATTTGAGTTGTTTTTTTGTTTTTAAATGTTGTCACTTAAATGTTATGTAACTTAGGAACAACAAAGAACCATTTGGTCCTTCATGCCTTTTTTGCACACCCACCTTTGAGAAAAGTCAAAATTTAAACTCACTCTTTATTTCTCAGAAAATATTGATTCCCTCTTAAACACTTGTGAAGTGCCAGCTTCCACTTCTGTTGATAGTAACCTCATTTTGTAAGCTAACCATACTGTTAGAAAAATTAAGGTATTTTTGTTCATGTTGTTAATATTTGTTACATCATAATTTTTTTTCCATGACCTTGAAATTTTTTCAGCCATATGTTCACCATTTTATGTCTATAGCTGTGTTGATGGTCTTCAAGACAACTGATATTAATGTAGTAATTATGAAATTCACACAAATGTTCATTCATGGGTGACTAACCATCATAACAAAGGACCATGTACATGCTTCTGTTACCTTCAGCTTCATGTCATTATCATTTCTTTCAGTTCTATTTTCATTATAAGGGTTGACAGTCAATATCAGGTTTGAAATCGTATTGCTGGATTATGCAGTGGAAGGCAACTGAGTTAGTATGAGAACTTGGTTAAATGACATGTCTGTGGCATCAATTGCTTTTGCTAGCAACTCCTAAGCATAATTTTCTTGTTCTGTTGTCATAAGAGTCAACAATCTTTCTGATGTTTCAGCTTAAGTGATGTGAAGTTGACAAAACAGTTACTTAGCAAAGGTGAGGTAGTGTGCAACTCTGCCAAGTTCATATCTTCAAAATGTTTTTTATCAGATGCACATGGCAACTCATATTGGCTATTTAATTTTCATCTTTCACAAACACTCTGCCTAATTTTCAAGCTGCAAAAATGTCTTAACTTCACTAGGGTATGCCACTCCTTAGACTGTTGATGAGTACATACATACTCTTTCTAGTAGCATTAATAGCATACATTTTCTAATGCTACTTGTACAACTGAAAGTTTCAGTACAAAATACTCATTTTCCCGAATAATTTATATTATGAATCCACTTATATTACTGAACTCAAAGTACTGGCTGCACCCCTCTTATATGCACAAGTATAACAGTCCATAGAAACTTCAGAATCTGGTAAGCCACTTCCTTATAGGCCTAATATAAATCATAAAAATAATCTAACATATTCTCATCTGTTCACTGTTGATTGACTGAAAATTAATGCCATATAGTGATACAGTGAGAGATATAAAGGTAGTTGAAGTTTTCCTTTTCAAACAGTAGTGCAGTGCACAAAACATTTTGAGCCACAGCATAGTGGCTCATAAAACAGCTGATTTTTTTTTGTTCAAGTACAAACCTTTATCTCATAGCTCCGTCATCTCTTGACTGATTTGAGATCTAAATACAGTTTTGGACTCATGAGGTCAAACCCTTTTGATTGATGTATTTGACCACACCCAAGGTCTCACAGATTAATTTACTCTAATCCTGCCTAAAAGAATTTCAATTTGAGGGTAGGCTGGTAGAGATCCAGATGAGTAATAAAATTGAACCTTGGTATTGCTGGCACACAAAAATATAGCTAATAAAAAGGAAAAAAGGTCTCATAGATTAATTTACTCTAATCCTGCCTAAAAGAACTTCAAGTGCTGCAGTGTCTGACAGTATATATGGGCAATTTTATTTTAGGATTTTTGCCTAAAAACAGGGATAAAAAAAAAGCCCCTGAAACAGGACATATTTTCTCTTTTTATGATCTTTTGGCTTGCATCACACAGAATTTGTTGGCTTGATTACCATATTTTTTTGTATGGTAACTGAAAACTGTCTGACAGTGTACATGGGATATTATATTTTAGGAGTTTTAGCTAAGAAGGGGGATAAAAAGCCCCTGAAATAGGGTACATTTCCATTTTTTTAACAGACTTTTGGCTTTGAATTTAAAACAAATACTTAATCTGTTGAATAAGTTAATTATTACCTTCCACAAAATACAGTATGCAATTAGCATTTAATGAGGTCATTAGGGATTTGATAACAAAAGAAAGGAGGAGAACACTATTCAACACAGTCCTTTATATAATTTTTGCTTCCTTAATGGTACCCTCAGCTAGTAATGAATAAAACAGCATATCTTTTGATATGCTTTAATGAATTTGTATTCTCCAAATATATTGTGAGCACTGTCATAACAATGACATCTGCAATCTTTGATTTGAAAATTCAAGCATGGTAAGAAATTTCAAAATTTTGTTTAAAAAAAGTGATTGGTCTGTGTGATTATTGCATAACATAATATCTTCGAACAAAATGGGACCTATTGGTCCATCTCAGCTGTTCCATCCTCAAAACTAAATTAAAATGATTTAAAAATAAAATACAAATATTTTAAACCCAGCCTTTTTCATTCATATACTTATCAAGCTTTTTCTTAAACTCACTTAAATTTACTGCCTCTACAACATCTGAAGGCAACCCATTCCAAAGGCCAACCACCCTGTTAGAAAAATAAAACTGTCTTAGCTGAAGATGACTCCTACCTTGCTAAAATTTATATTTGTGTCCCCTAGTCCTACTATTCTCACTGTTAAATATAAAAAAAGATGATACATCAACACTATCAATTCCATTTACAATCTTAAACACCTCAATCAGATCCCCCCTAACTCTTCTTTTTTCAAGAGAAAACAATTTGAGAGATTTCAGCCTCTCATCGTATGACAACCCCTCCATCCCAGGCACCATTCTTGTAACCCTTCCCAGAACTGTTTCTAACAATTCAATATCCTTCCTAAAGTAAAGAGCCAAAGACTGAACACAATACTCCAAATGCGACCTAACCATACTACAATGAAAGTATAACCTCTTTAGACTCATATTCAATATTTCTATATATACAACCTAAAATCTTAATTGCCCTACCACTACACACTGCTTCGATGGCTTTAGAGACTGATCAACTATTACACCATAATTTGTTTCCTTCATAACACTATGAAGGTTATTCCCATCCCAATTATACTTATAATTCAAATTATGATAACCCACATGCATTATTTTGCATTTATTATAATTAAAACCCATCTGCTATTTATTTGCCCAACTCATTAAATGATCTAAATTCTTTTATAAATCAGCAGCATCCTTTCCAAAGCTAGTAACACTCAAGACCTTAATATCATCTGCAAATTTAAGTACTTTATTGACTATCCCTTCATCTATGTCATTGATGTAAATTAAAAAGAGCAAAAGTCCTAAGACTGAGCCCTGAGGTACCTCACTTGTGACATTCATCCAGTTTGACTGAACTCCATTTGTAACAACCCTCTGCTTTCTCCTATCCAGCCACTCTTCTATCCAATTTACTAATTTATCCCCTACACCTATAGAGCTCATTTTTTTACAAGTCTTTTATGATTACCCGCTATTTCTAAACAAGGTCTTTCATAACACAGTGGTCTAAAACATATTTTGATTTTGCTTGCCAGTTAGTAGGGTCTTTTTTCTTCTGTAACTTGTGCTATGGTTGCAGGCATAGGTTTATTAAGGTCAGAAAATACAGTACTGATATAAGTTCTTAAATAACACTGATTCCCTTTATGCTTCTCAACTTCAACAATACTTCTAGCATTCAATTTCACAAACATTATAAATAATTTCATTTACTTTTAAAAGATTCACACTATTATTATTTTATGTATTATATACAATTAGAAATATAATTACGTGATATCACACTTGTAGGTGATATTAAAAAAAAAAAACAGTAGTAATTTTAGGCATGCATTTATGTTCTTGAGAACATCTAAATTTTTTTGGCTATTTTCAATTTGTAGCAGACCATAATTCATACACACATACACTTAATTAACAACTAAACTGGCACAAATGTTTTAAATATGGCAAATTAACATTTGCACTATGCTAGCAGTAGCAGCTTTACCACAATTATGTAACCTTACAATATGGACAAATATAAAACATTACATGTTTAGCATCCCCTCCAACTTCCTTTTTTGCAACCACCTCCTCCCTTTTTTTAGTTTTTAAAAGTATTGTTTTTCCATCATACAAAGGAACAAAGAGAACTTCTGAATAAAAAATCAGATAAACACAGTTGATTCATTTTGCCCTTTTTCTTTATTTGATATAAATTCTGTATTGTTTTGATGTGTATAAACAACCAATATTAACCATTATTTCCTGGTCTTTGGTATTGCCTGATAAAAAATAATCAGTGATCCTTGAAATGAAAATTATGTATTTAGTAAGTTTACTGAATATTTAAACCCTCTTTTAATTTATCAATTTATTTATGTAATATGTTACTTAGTTATTCAATGAGAAATGGATTTTATAAATTTGCATGTTATTGTTAACTTTTCATAATACGTTATTCAATAATAATGAAGTTTCTATATTTACAAATTACATACAGATATACAAGTCTATACTATTACTAATGAAAGTACTGTATAAAATCTTACAAAAAATCTATGGTAATTTGTAATCATGCACCCACAAATAGAATTTTGAATACCAAATTTACTTTATTTCTTATACATGCTATCTACAATGGGAAACAGCATGACAACGAAACACAAGAGTTGAAACTTTTCAATAATGAATTGTGGAGAAGAAAATCTGTCGCTTTCTCGTATTACATATTTTAGTTCATTAGTTCAGTGTAGTTGCATTGCAATATTAAATTATTTTGTCATTACATAACACTTGCTTCGACTTTGTAACTGATTACGTAGCCTCCGAGCTAATTTTTACTTTTACTCGTTCTAGGATATATATATCTTCTATTTCTAAAGCAATAAAAAATAAAATGTAAGATCCTAAATCTCGTGTAATGTCCCAAACTTATGATTTCCATGCTTCGGTATTCGCAACCAGTGTTAACCTAATGCCTAATGTTACTTGTTAACTCTTAAATGTGACTGAGACGCATTAGGCCAATGGGTGTGATTCTTGTGCTACGCAAATTTGAAACTATATTCCCACTTGTACATTCCTCTTTATTCTCTTTTGCAGATTAAAAATTACTTTATTTAAAAATTTTAATTGAAAAATAATATAGCAATACCTTGCAATCATTTGAATCTGGTTGAAAAACTGAAACAATCATTTCCATATGTAGTAAATCAAATAAGATATCATCCGCCATTTTTAAATCATTTCGTTGAAAAAAATGTAGGTAGCAGCACAATAGAAATTTCTCCTGTCGCATTATCTCATTGAGCTTGTGCAATCGCTGAAGTTGTTAAGCCTAATAGTGTACCATGAAATTTGAGCCAGATTTTTGTTTGTTTGTAATTAAGCACAAAGCTACACAATGGGTTATCTGTGTTCTGCCCACCACGGGTATCGAAACCCGGATTCTAGCGCTGTAAGTCCGCAGACATACAGCTGCGCCACTGGGGGACAGTTCCGTTTGAAACGACTCTTGTGATTCACCTGATAAACAAACTACGCAACACAGTAACCAGCCTAATAGTATAAACTCATGAAATGATTCAGAAACTCTTGAATCTGGTATGTTAATCATTCTGGAATTTCCAACTCAAATCTACATACATAATTCACATCATTGTAAAAATTATATTAATAATCATAAAAATAAACATATTAATGATAAGAACAAATGATAATAATAATGACAACTATTATTATCAGTATAATTTATTATATATATATACAGTGCCTTGCAAAAGTATTCACCTCCCTGCAAAGTTTCTACATTTTGTTGCCGTCTGAGCTTGCAGTCATGAAACTTTCAAACGGGACATTGTATGCAGTATCTACACAATTTATTCCAAACTGAGAAGGACAAAAAAAAAACGCCAATATTATGTAAGTATGTTAG